ATTTTTTTTAGAAAGTAGATAGTGTTTCACTTTCAGACGTTTCTGTTTTAGTCCCGCAGGGCATTAATTTATGCAAAACAACAGAAAAGGTATTACAGTACAGAGGTTATAGGGGTATGAGAAACGTTCTGTAATCTGACATTTTAAAAAATCTCCTTGTAATACATTAGTCCGATCAGCTCTTCGACCTGGTGCGGCCTGCAACTCAACCTCAAGTTTTGGTTCCCACTCTTTTGTTTCACACATACGCCAGACATCATCAAGCAAATGAAATATCCGCACAAACTACTAACATACATTATCTAGAGCAAGTGTGTGTATGGGGGAGGGATGAGTGTGTGTGTGTGTGGGGGGGGGGGTTCTTTTCAATCTATTAATATCCCACCAGCAGACCCTAGAACGCTCAGAAATCTTCTCAGCTTCCCGGGAAGCATACAGTGCAGACAGCCGATTTACCACTTAAACATTAAGAAACTGACAAGATCTTTCGCTATATATAACTAATGAAACTATTGTAATCCTTTCGGGAATATTTTCCTGCCAAACCCAGTGCCCAGATGTGGGAATTAAAGTCGTTTTCTAAAAGGCTTACTTACAAAGTAGGTGTTACGTCTCGCCAAAAATGAAACAGAAAAGAGATAAAATGATGGATCATAATTATACAGTTATAGGGTGCAAGCATTAAAGTGTAGAGAATAAGCACGTGTATTAGGGATTAATTTTGTAGCAACATAATGCGGACTATCGCATTGTGGGACCTCTGACATGGTGAAGTGTACATACTAAAATATCAACCACAAAATTAAACTAAAACAAAAAGCAAGAGAAAACAAAAACAAACAAGACATGAATAACTTTTTAAAGGGATATCTCGCTTGGATGTCAAATCGTTTCATTACTATTATAAAAAGTACCTTAATGAGCTCTCAAACACATAGCCTACATAATATACATACTAGAATAACTCCAGAAGGCAAATGTTTAAATCATAGAGAAAGTTCTATATACGTGTGTATCAGATTAAACAAAGTACATTGTAGGTGTAACTTCTGAATCCAACTTCTTTTTACTTTCATTTCTGTTATATCAACAATGATTCTACTTACTGACATTTAATTGTTTAAAGGTGGTAGGCTTTTCGACGCTTTTTTAAGTGGGGGGGGGGGTGTCTTTTAATGAAGGTGTTTCTATGCCCTCATCAACCAAATTTATACAATTTAGGAGGTGGGCTTCGACTTTGTCTGTTAAACAGTGTCAGGGCCAGAGAGGGATATAACATCCTGACAGAAATACTTGATTAAAATTCTCCCCTCTTGGAAACTGAAATCACCCCCCTCCCCCCACCCCCACCAACCCCCCCCACCCCGGGGGGTCGTTTGGGGGAATGGGAAGGGTTAAACATCACCCCCCCGAGGCCCGTCTCAAGGTTCCCTAAAGGGCAGAGGTTTTGGTGGGGGGGTTTTTTATTTGGGTTTTCCGGGGAAAATTATTTTTACCCGGTTTTCCCGCCCCGGGCGAGTGGGATGCCTAACCCTCCCTTCCCCAGACAGTCCTAAAAGGCAGGTTCAAAGCAGCTGGACTCCCAAAGGATCTCAGATGTGTTGATTCGTGGGGGGGGGGGGTGTAAAAAGTTTACAATCATGCAATCACCAGTGGCGATATGAGGCATCAATCACGCTAAAAGAAAGCTGACTTGTTTCTTTAAAATAAGACTTCATACGAGAGCGTATTGTTTATGTTACAGATAGAATCAATGCAGAGGGCTGACTTGTTATTTTATGGCTCTCAAATTTTATGCATTTCTTTGTTTCCCCTTTAAGTGCATGACAGCTTGTTGCATTCCTAAAGCATATTTATAATCAAATTGTGTACTTAACAGAGTTTATTTTTTCGTCTCAAGAAAGCCCACAAAGCGATTTCTTTCAAAGTTAAAAGGTCGTTAAACCAGAGGGTGGGTTGCCTTACATTTATTTTTAACATTTATCTTTCGGCCCAAGGCTTCCTTTCCTTTCAAAACTCACGAATAACATACTTGTTATGTACAAGTATACATCTATAAGATTAAACTGACGATCGAGTCATTGCCAGCTTTCTGAACCTTCATGCTGCAGCACGAAAACATCACGCACGCACACTAACACAGACATATAGACACATATAGACACACACATAAACACACACACACACACACACACACACACACACACACATACACACACACAAACACACACACAAACGCACACATACACACTGCCGGAGGTTGAAGGTCACCACTGCTAAGTCATATTTCTTGGTGGAGTCTATCCAGCTGGCCTTTTCCCAGCACCCATGACTGTTATTTTGTCTATGTGCTTCTCTTTATTTAGAAGAAAAAAAAGAAATGGAAAAAACGCATCCACACCTTACTGAACTGTGTTAAATACTGCCATGCAGTATTCATTGCCTGGTCATAATCTATGAAAAAAAAACATTGTTGAGTAGGATGTACGTGGGTATCATTGCAGAAACTTAAGTAAAAGTAAAGTTCACAACCCCCCAAAAAAAAAATAAAAAAATGAAGCTCTTCTCCATGTCTTCGCACATCAAGACGACCGCAGCACGTTATTCCATGTTCCAAGGAGATATAACTGCAACCTTTCTGTAATCTCCACAGTGACCCTGGATGTTGTGCACAATGTCAATTAATTTGAAATGATTCCCCAACTTTACTCTTACCATTCAAAATTTGCAAGGCAGTAAAGGTGCTTATAACAGACTTACCATTTGGTACTTTGGTTGGCTTCGGTGCAACTTCAGGAGTCTGTGGAAGGAACAGGAAATATTTACACTGAACTAAGAGGGCGAAAAGATATTGAACTTGCAAATTATTAACTCAGAGGTCACACTGACTTTTTTTTTTCAAACCATCACAAATGATTACATACTTTGGTTCATTTAGAAGGTAAAACAAAATACGTAAAAATGACAGACGAATTATGCACTGCAACAATTAAACATAGATGCAAAAGCGGAAGCAGCTTCTTTTCGTGCTTGAGACAAACAAATTTTGAAATTAATAATTAGGTTTACAGGAGGTATGAAAAAAGAAGACAACAGATATCTGAACGAGCCCATAACCCAACCACATAACAGCAGGAAGGAAAGACAATGAATACCATACCATCACGCGCTGGTGGCATTACAAGACAAGACAAGAAAAGACAAGACAAGACAAGACAAGACAAGACAAGACAAAACATGAAAAGGCAAGAAAAGAAAAAAAACAAGACAAGACCAGACATGCCAAGACACGACAAGGCAAGACAAGATAAAGTACACTTTACTTATCCTCCATTTAAAGATACTAACAATAAAAGCAGCAATAAGAAGGGACATGACATATTGTGTAACTACTTTCTGTTAGCAATGTCGTGAGTGACTGACTATGGTTCCTTCATTGATATCTGCCCTGAGTTAACTCTGTTGTACTAAAACTGACCTTTATGGCATAAGGATGTAAGGTTGAACTCATTGCCTTCACTCATAGAAAAACTTGAGTTTGATTCAGGAATAGGGAAGCTATTTTATCGAACATCTCTGTCTGTCTACTGCTGGGATACTGTATCCCACAGCTTTTGAGTTGGGCCTGACTGGCAGGATCAAAGCTGGCCACCTCGTAAATGACCTGTATTGTGTCCACGTGGAGGTAAAACATTAACATGCTCCCATCCCCAGAGCAACGCCACTGACTGAAGTGTCTTTAGGCCTTTCCCAAAGGGGGTATATTATCATGTTCTTATGCACAGTAGAATTGTAAATGGGCTGATTTATCAATGTCAAGCTTATACTGTGCCGGAACAACATAGGGGGAATGGCTGCTTTTTTTTTCCTCATCCTTACTATTATCATTTTCCTCTACTTCTTTTGTATGTTTTGTCACTCTCTTGTAACTGCTATTATTGGGGTGCCTTGACAGTCGAAGCAGTCTCTTTGCTGTTGAGGCTAGAGAAGTGAGCAGAGTAAGCCTGATTCCCCATTTGGACTTCTCTGTTGACATCCACCCCTTGGCACTCATATGACCTTATACAGTTGCGAGCGCCGTAAAACCTTACTTAAACTAAAAACATTAACATTTAACCTCAGCCTTAACATTTATTTACTTTCACTCACATTTTGATTCTGCTGCAGACTTTTAACACCTCCTGTGGTGGCAGTCTGGGTCGGCTTGCCCTGGTCAGTACCATCACTCCCTGGTCTCAGCGGAGGTGGGTGGTTTTTCGGGACTGGAGGGGGAGTGGGAGACAGGGGTCTGTTCTTTTGTTGAGTAGAAGATCCCGAGGGAAGTGTGGGGGAGTGGATTGAAGGAAATGGGGGCGGTGGCGGCATTTGGCCGGGTAGACTTTGCACAGAAGAGGGAACTGAAAAAGGATAACGTGATAGTCATTGTGTGTGCGCGCGCGCGCGCGCGTGTGTGTGTGTGTGTGTGTGTGTGTGTGTGTGTGTGAATGGGTGGGTTGGTGGGGACGCGTGGGTGTCAGGTTTTTCCATTTGCTTTGGAAAGTAGGACTGTCGAGAGCAGTCGTGTTAGATATTTAGTCTGGAGCAACTTCTCAAGCACTTTCATATATATATAAGACTAAAAGATAAGGAAATAGACATTTGAAAAGTGATAAAAGAAGGGGACCAAGTTGAATGTGATGCCTGGACTACAACACTCAAGTTTGATCATTAGTATACACGATGGTAAATACAGTGAGGGTGAAGAGAATATGTATGAATACCCATCACTTATAAATCTTATCATTGAAAATGATAACAGTTTTGGGTTTGCTTGGGGTTTTTTTAATTCCCAGAAAGAGTGCTTTTACCCAAAATTGTTGGTGTGGTGGTATTTTTTTCTGAAGATTTTTGTTTGTTTGTATTTCGTTTGCTTGTTTTTATTTGTTTTTGTTGTTTTTTTCTTCAAAAAAAGTCAAAGCGTTCCCTTTCCCCATTCTTCTAGCATGTATAGAAGACTTACATTGCGTAAAACAGAAACCGCTTAGGATATCGGTATAATATTTGAGTATACAATAGCGGTGAAAGTGAAGTTGCCTTTCAACCTGACAGGACAGAAAAAGTAAGTTAAACAAAAATACAGGTTGCAGATTTTAAAAATTTATGATTATACGATCTTCCTTGTGTTTCACTGCAGTCTGAACATGATACTTACACGATATAGATTAAGCCCAGTTGGTAACTTTTAAGCAGCATTGTTTTTACCTGCTCCAACAGCTCTGGAAGTGTGTAGTTTAAGTAGTTCTTTGCTGATACTTCCTCTGGTAAAGTGTTGTATGAGTAGTTCTTTGTCGACACACTTCTGGCAGGGTAGCTTTTAACACACTTGTTAATTTCATAACCAGTCAGGCCACATCAATTAGTGATACTGAAGTTTTCTGTTAAATTTAAAGTAAGCGGGTAGTTGGCTGGAACTCTGATGCGGTAAGCTCCTTCTTTCCTATCAAACATCTATCGTCCTGATCTCTCCTACTTTTTGGAGTTTGCTACTCTCTTTTAATGTGTCTAATCTTCGGCACTTATACGACCTTTTTGTGTTGCAAGTGCCGTAAATTTCTTAATAAAACTAAAAGTGAAGTAGTTTTGGTTATTCTTTGCCAACACACTTACTGTTCTGTCCAACAGCGCTTTGGTTGTTCTCCTGTGAGATCTGAGGACACAGAGTAAACATACGTGGTACATTAAAAAATTAGTCTACTCACATCTTTGTGTTTTACTATTGTCTTCTTCATCCTCCTTCTCCTCCTCCAGTTCTTTGTCTTCTGTTGTGCTCCTCATTTTCCTCTCAGAAACACACACACACACACACACACACACACACACACACACACACACACACACATACACACACACACACACTAAATTCGTCAAGCGTAAGGATTTTGCTGAGCTAAAAGATATTATACTTTGTCCATGAGTACGGTGTCTCTGTCTCTCTTTTGCCGAAGTTCTGCAAAATTAGCAACTTTGCTGCATAACGATTTGATATTTCAGTCTTGAATGGTGTCAAATTAGGTCTTTGTTTCTGATGCAGTAACGGTATAGAGTAATAAATTGATGACAGTGCACATATTATGGGCAAACAACCACTTGATGCCTGTATCTCTTTGCAGCATTTGCTCTTGTTGGATAGGAATGTTTTATTTCCATTCTTTCCCTCTGTTGCTTCTCTCTCTCTCTCTCTCTCTCTCTCTCTCTCTCTCTCTCTCTCTCTCTCTCTCTCTCTCTCTCTCTCTCTCTCTCTCTCTCTCTCTCTCTCTCTCTCTCTCTCTCTCTCTCTCTCTCTCTCTCTCTCTCTCTCTCTCTCTCTCTCTCTCTCTCTCTCTCTATTCATCTGTCTTTCTGTCTGTCTGTCGATCCATCTCCATCTTTTTCCCTCTGTACTAAGTAAGAGTTATATTCTATTATTGAGACAAACAACAAAATAAACAATTCTTGTATTAATCTCATCTAAAGTACACAAAAGATCTAGACCTATACGATAATGTGGATTTAAGATGGAGGAGAGTCAAGTGGGTTCGAACAAGGGCAGCTTGAGCAGCAGGCTTCCTACCTGTTGTCTTGTTTGTACTTTGGACACATTTGCAATTTGCGCCCCGCTAGCAGATACCGGTCCTGAAAAAGATGGGTAAGAATTCATCTGTCACAGTCAACATATAGATAGATAGGACCAAGCCAAGCAGGCAGAAACCTTGGAACCCCCCCCCCCCACACACACACTTTCCAAAGACAAACAAAGTTCAACAAGAGTGTTCCTATGGGATTCGAACCAGAGTCTTCCGTATCATATCCTAGAATGAACCTGTGAAGCAACGTTGTGCTAATACTTGTCAAAAGTAACAAAACAAGGTAGGAAAGAAGGAATAGACAACAAGAAAATAGGGTAAAAAAAAAGAAAGAATAGACAATAAGAAAATAGGATAAGAAAGAAGGAATAGACAACAAGGAAATAGGGTAAAAAAAAGAAAAAATAGACAATAAGAAAATAGGGTAAAAAAAAAGAAAGAATAGACAATAAGAAAATAGGATAAGAAAGAAGGAATATCCAACAGCAAAAAACATAGAAAGGAAGAAGGAATATAGAACGGGAAAACAGGGTAGTAAATGAGAAATAGGGGAAGGAAGAAGATGCATGAAGGGACCCCCAAATAATTTTTTATCTAAAACCCCGGCAAAGCCCTCTTTTTAAAAAAAAGATAAGTACAGCGTTGACTATCCCAAAAATCTGTAAGCCAGTGGCTTAAACTGCTGGTTTGGGGGTTTATTTTGGTGTATCTGTCATTCTGGATACCATACACATCTAAAATTCTTGCACAAGAGTACGTTTTAAAGGCATATTTTTCCCCTGTTAACAAAATGGGAAACGTTTACCTGTTTTTTATTCGTCCTTCTATATAACAGGCAATCGTATCGGACGGTGTCATTTTAATATTGTATAGATAAAACGTTAGGGTGGAAATGGGGGGTGGTCATATGTACAGGTGATTAGTTAGACAGGTGGTGTTTAAAGCAGGTGTGCCTGCACTTAGCTCTCTGTAACCTAAGGGGTTTACTTACTTAAGTTCGCTGCAGCAGCTTGGATTTCACTTTGCGCCTTAGAGTTAGAGTTGATGTCCGGCTTGGATTGGGATGTAGAGCTATCCAAATTCACGTACAATCTCTTAGCATCTGGTGAGGAGAGTATGAGGCCAGAGGTTACTCTTTAATACATATTTTGTTCGGGGACGTAGTGTAATATTCTATATACTGATGCTGAAGCATTTTCATTGTTATTTTGGTCTTGGGCCTTGGGTAGATTTTTAATGTTGTTATTTTTGGTGGGTATTTTTGTTTGTTTTTGAGTTTTGTTTGGTTTCTTTCTTGGTGGGGGGAAGCGGGGAGGGGTGGTATTTCATTTATTTTTTTATTTTTTTTGTATTTCAGAAAAATTCAAAGAAAAGATGGAGGGGAGATTCGAGTTGTTTTCGTTTTCTGGTGTTATTGTTGTTTTGCTAATGTTGTCAGATATTTGTATGTATCTAGTTATTTTTTGTTGATTGGGGGGAGGGGTCCTGTGCCAACTAGTTTCAACTATTATCTCTTGAATGGAGATAAAAAGTATAGAACAATTGAGCTATCCGAAGTGAAATTACTGTCAATGAGCTCTTGTGTTGTAGGGGTTAGTCTCTTTACTGTTGCACCCAAAAGACATGATTTTGATTCTTTAGAGGGAATTTCTCTAAGGAAAATATCTGGTTTCTGTTAACATACACACACACACATACACACACACGCGCACACACACACACACACACACACACACACACACACACACACACACAAACAAACAAAAAACCACCACTCACGTCGTTTGAGCGAGGCGGCTTGCAGTACGGCCGTAACGATGTCGAAGTTCCTCTGTAGCTTGGCCTGGCGCCGATCTCGTCGCTTCAGCTGCCGCACCAGGCGTATGTTCATCACGGACACGCTGCGCTGGAGGTCAAACAGCATCCTCTTCAGTTGGACGCAGCCTGCGGGGGTAACGCCAGAGACCATGATTAGGGTTGTATATTGTATGAATCAAGGGGGTTATAAATAGATTTGTACAATGGACAATTAGGCAGACAAATCAAGCGGGTTATAAATAGTTGTACAATGTACATAATTATGTACATAATCAAGGGGTTATAAATAATTAGAGATGTACAACGTACATAATTATGTATTCGTATCAAGGGAGTTAGATGTATAAATATTCTAAGAGTCGCGGCATGACAGGTGTCTGGTAATTTCAATTATGCTTTGTTCATTTATTAGTATTATCATAATAGCCAGCTTAAGGTGCGCGTGTGTGTGTG